GTATTGACAGTGCAATGCAATGAAATTGTGAAAGGTATGTGAATCAATCTGCCTTAATATTTACTGCTTTAATGCACCCTGAATTTATAGGTGTGCATTTTGAAATGAGGTAATTATTTTAAATAGCACCTGTGTGTTTTTAGCTGAAGAAGCTGTGAAATTACATTGCCTTAAAATCATCACGAGGTTCATTTGTATGCACCACAGGCTGCTAGAGAGGGCAGAGGCAAGAGTAAAGAAGCAAATACCAGACGTGGCTTTCCATTCTGCTGTTGTGGGGAGGGGAAGGCAGGGTGGTGAATTTCACGGTGCCATGAATTGGAGTGTTCTGTAAAGTTGATTATTTTAATTTCAGTCTCTGCAGCTTGCAAAGATCATAGGCTATACCTGAGAAATGTAGGCCAAGAGGGACCTCTGGAGGCCCCTCTAGTCCAACCTCCTGCTCAAAGCAGTGCTAACTTCTGAGTAAGATTGTCCAGGCCCTTGGTTAAACAAGCTTTGAAAATCACCAGCGATGGATATTCCATCTCTTCTACCTTTTATTCTGAAGAATGTTTCTTTATAGCTAATTGGAATTTCCTTTACTGCAATTTCTGACTGTTGCCCTCCTGTCCTTTCATGATGCATCTCTGGAACAGGTCTAGCTCTGCAACTCGGCTTTGGGCAGGTTATCGCTCCTCTTTTGCAAGCAGAAGAAAGCCTTTTCCTTGATTGGAATTTTCCATTTTTAAATACACTTTTTTACGTTGTTTATGGTGCCCAAAACTAGGTCTTGGTATTCCAGATGTAGCCTCGTTATGCCGAGTAGAAAGAAATAACCACTTCTTTTGCCTGCTGGCTATGAAATGCTAACACAGCTGGGTATGTGGTTTGTCTGCATTGCTGCAAGGACATACTGCTGACTCATGTTCAGCTTCTCCCTCAGATCATTTTCTGCAGAGCAGGAATATGGACAGACAGTTCTCAGCTTATTGCAATGTATGAGCTTATTCCTTCCCACATACATGGGTGTATTTGTTTCAGATACAAAAAATACTTCTGGTTATTGTGGCTTAAACAGATTCACAGTTAAATTGCAATATGCTTTAAGAAGAAAAAAACACTGAACTTAAGCTGATGTTATTGTAAACGTTAATTTAGTTTCTGTTGAGGATTTCACACTTACTAGAATTACAAATACACCATACCAAAGAGATTTTTACACAAGAAGGTATTGACAGCAGTTGATTTTGGCTATGTGGCCAGGCAAGAAAAGAGGCCCTTGGGATATGCAACCTTGTACAGCAAACAAATGATAAATATTAGGTATTCTGCACTAGTTGAATGGAAATGTACCATGGCTAAAGCATCCCATTTGATTTAAAAAACAAATTCTTCCAAAGAGTTACTGCAGGTATCAAAAAATTAATTCACTGTTAGCACTGTTACAAGCGCTTCATTCATTCATCACTGTTGACACAGTTATCAGGGAAAGATTATGAATATCAAGTGGATTTTTTTAAGGAAACATTCTCTTGGGTGCTTGTTCTTTTCAAATGTTGGCTGTAGCCAGATCCAAGCATGTAAGTCCTTGGACCACCACTAGTTGCAGAAGAGGCCTTCTCTTTCCACTGTTTCTTGACAGAATCCTATCATGCAGCCTCCTAGCAAGCATCACCAGAAAGTTGTGCTGCTTGGAATTCACACTAATGTGATTACCCAATAATTGAAGTAGCAATTAAAAAATATTCTATGTGTGGGTTTTCATATTATTTATCTGCATCCATTTATCTCAGCAGTGAATTAATCATGACTGGGCTGACATGTCCATTGCTGTAAATTAATACAATCGCATTTGTACTTTGAGATAAGAACATGCTAACAGATGGAAGAAAAGACTAAGTTTCCTTTGAATATATGTCAGTTTTTCAGCCAGGTATTTAAAAACAGATGAGGGACAAATTCTATCCTGGTTATGATCTTGCTGTATGATTAAATTCAACAAGATCACAAAATTTTCCTCTATGTATCTAGAGGGGGGACTGTTTTCATACAGAATGTTAGTTGTGAAAGAAGAAAATATTCTATTTACACATACAGAAAAGGTTTCAAGCCTTTCAGGAAATCTGTTTGAAAACTATTTATGGTATTAGTATGCAAATTATATACTACACACTAAATGGGAATCTTGCAGTAAAGCACTCTGACAGACATTTCACTATTTGAACTATGGTAGTCCAGTTAAAAAGACAAAACAAAAAGAAAACACAGCTGGATGTAATTGTATCCAAACACATGCTTATTATGTTAATGGGGGCATACGAATAAAATAAAATGTTGTCCAGCAAAGGTTTTCCCAGAATGACGCAGTTATTGTAGCAAAATGTTCAAATAATGCAAGCTTTTGTGTTTGTTTTAATTGAAAACATGTTTCTTATTTATTCCTAAAAATTGACAGATGAAGTGTGGCAGTGCCAGAGAAACAATAAATTCCATCTCATATCAAGTATTATTTTAATAAGTATTCTTCAGTTGAGAAGAAAACATGAACTGTGGCCGTGATCACATTAGGTATTTCCAGTGATATGATTTAAATCAAATTAGGAGATTGGTATTGTATAGAGGTAGTGATACATGTCTTAAACTCCTACTGTTTTCCCAGGTTGTCAGAGTAGTGATGCACCTTTCCCTTTTGCACTGAAGCTTTCTGATGCTTCTCTGCCTGTACCTTCCGGCTGCTGCTGCTGCTCTCCCATCGGCTTCCCTTCAGTCACACTGTAGTCTAATTTCTGCCCACAGAGGCTCTCATGAATCTCCCTTCTTAAGCATGCTACAGAAGCTTTACATCAGTGTGAGAGGTTTTAAGCAGCCAGGTGTTAGTAAGAATCCATTATACGCTATAGGTCAGTGCTGGGTTGGGTCTCTTTCCAACCAGAAAAAACTTTGGCCTTGTTTCATTCCTAAAAATCTCCTGGAATTCCTTGTTGTGTCCCTCACATCAATCTGCACACCTCTGCAATGTAAATTACCTGGGCAAGGTGCTAGATCTGTTCATACCAATTTACTGCTGGTGGGCTTGAAATCTTTGAAAAGAAGAGGCTTTGCATCAGGTTTATGCTCCCTCCCTCCCTGGCCCTGCTTTGCCTTTTTGTCCTTTCCATTTGTAGGACATGCTTTAATGAACCATAACTGAAAACTAAAGAAACTGCAGTTTTGTGCCTTATGTAAGTTGCCTGTTATTCAAAGCGTTTCATATAAGGGCTGTGGATGTTGTTAAAAGCCTCTGTCTTCTTCACTGCCAGCTGCTACCATGGCCCTAAAGTAGATGCATTGTTTTGTTTTTAACTTTGTATCTCACTGTCCTTTCCAACCCTATCTATTCTATGATCCTATGATTCTATACTGCCCTGTGAAATTGCTTTCTGCCTTTAAATTGACCATCATGAAGAATTTTGTATTTTTCAACCTGTCATTGTCTCTGACAGTTACATGTTATTCTGAGTTTAAAAACTAACATTTTTGTTCACAAGCACGAAGGATACCTTCCCTAATCTAGGTCAATAGGCATGTCGATGCAGTCTTGAGAACGTTATCTAAGTGCCTTTTTTTATTCTTAGTGATGAGGAACTGTTTATACTGCAAATGTGATATGACCAAACGCACATTAATGTATTACTCTAAAATAATAATATATTAATTTAAAATTAATGGATAAAATATTAAGTCTGTTACTTAAAATATTTTCCTGAGGCAAAGTACCCCTGGCCTGTTTAATGAAATGTATTTGTTTCTTGGTCCTGCCTATGTAAGAAATGTTTAACATTTTTGCCTGTGAAGACTTGCAGTCACTTCAAGCATTTCATATTATGATAAGAAAACAAAGCTTGTATCATTAGTGTGATAAAAAGTCTAGCTTGGTTGTGTGGTAAGCAAATTCTACATCTGCTACTCCCATTAAAAGAAACCTAACCTACGTTGACTAAAAATTTTCTCCTGCTAGAAAACAGATTTTGTACTTTCCACTGTCAGTGGAAAATGTAATCCCTGTAAAATCAATAGATAAAACTCACCTGAGAGCATACCCTTATTATTAGTTGTTTCCAGCAATGGTTAAATAACAGATTTCTGCACAGTTTGTGCTTAGAGGGAAGTGTCAAAGGCAGATGAATTATGAGAAACTACAGGACCTGTGTCCTTTGGGATGCTACAGAGTTCTGAGAAAGAATCTTTTAAGGCCAAACCGTATGTGTTAAGAGTCATTCTGTTTAGAATGCCCATCTTTTTCTTTTCTTTTTGGACAAAGAAATCTCATTTTGGCATATTTTCTTACCTGTTTTGAAAAAAGATCATCTTTTAAAAAGTGACCCAAAACCAGATGCTCCTGAAAGGAGCCTGGGGTTCACAGCAGAGGACGGTAATGCAAAATTCGATTTATTTTGTCTCATTAGGTCAACCATGCTTAGAGGGGATAGCTAGAATTCAAATTGTATCCTTCTGTGACAAAACTAAAACAGAAACATGTGATTTGTTTCTATTGAAAATCTTGAGAATTTATTTTATTTCAAGTTCACAATGTCATGAGCACGAAACATGTGGTCTTCAGTGTCTCGCTCTGAAATGCCCAAATAAGCCAATAGCAATTTGATTTTAACTGGTACGTGTTTGTCCTGCAGGCGTGTATGCATCTGGGCATTTTCTGCTCCTCTGTATATTGCTTTCAGTACTTTCAGCATAAAGATATATAGTAAAACTTGTCTTGAAAACCATCACAGAGTCCGGCAAACAAGGCTGTATAGCAGAAGATTCTCTCTTACTATAAGCCAGGCAGAATGGTACTTGAGATACTTCCTGAGGCTAAATGTTGTTTAGGTTTTTGGGACTATTACAGAAAGGCATCAAATTATTATATGCATCCAGTTATTTATTTTCTTAGCCTTACAAACTGAATAGCAGTATCTCCATGAAAATAGTATGGAGTTCTTTCATAGTTTTTATCCTTGTGCTTTCCCTTCTTTTAATAGCCTGGATGTGTAAACACTACTGAAGTGGATATAAAAAAATCTTCAAGAATGAGAAATCCACATAAAACAAGAAAGGTAAGTACTGTTATTACATCAAAAGCAGGAGGTGAGGGTAATTTATAGCCTGAAGTTCCATAGTTTCTTAAAACAATTTTTTCTTACAGCTGCAAAGAACAAATACCTGAACCTATATTATTTCATAAGCTCTTAAATAAATCAGTATTACCAAATTTTCTAATACCAACTAAATGCTATCACTTAAGAAAGTCTTTTGGGAAATACACAGAATATATGAAAATAAAATTTATTTTTGTATGCTTTATTCATATTGTTTAGTAGATTGAATAAGGCATGTTGAAATGTTCCTGCTGGTAATTAAGGAAAGATAAAGTGCAGTGTAAACTAGAACAGTAATTCTTCTTGTGCTGCTTGTAATTAAAAGGGTGTCTCTAGTTTACAATTGTGCCCCAAATGGGTCACCAGAAATTGCGGAGGAAATTAGCTTCATCTAAATTAGGATCCAGACATGAACAGCATGAGCTTTCTAGGGATGTATAGACAGATCAGAACAACACTTCTCTCAAATCCTTTGTATCTTAATACTGATTCCAACTTTAAAGTACTTCCTTTCAGGTATATGTTCGTATCGACCCATGGAAAAATATGTTTTAAAAAGGAAAGTGGATTTAGAGAAAGGTTTAGCTTCGCTTATTTGCTTTAGTGAAAGGTCAAGTTTAGTGTAATTTACAAGTAGTAATTGCAAATCTGGGAATCATCCAAATAAGCTGCTGTGATTGTCTACCTTTCAGGGTGCTGTTTATTCTTTTCGTATCGGTCATCTGCACTTACTGTAATAACTGCCTTTCAGTGTCATCAAATCCTTTACTATTCATTTACTATGCTGTTAAACAAAGACTATGTTTACTATGCTGTTAAATAAAGACTTAATAAAAGTAGATCCTGTGTTCTATGGCATTATGAAATTGTGGGGTTTGAGGAGTCTTTATTTTACACCATGGTATAAAGGCACTATTTTGTCTGAGTGCATAGTTTATTTGCAATTTCTTTACAAAAAGATGATCTTGTCCAACTTCTTGAGCACACTGAACTAAAGCGTCACAGTTACTATGTGTAGAAAGCATTGTCAGAAAGTAACTGTCATTGTTCCATGTTTTTGTGTAGTCTGTCTATGGCTTACAAAATGACATTCGAAGTCACAGCCCTACCCACACACCAGTACCAGAGACTAAGCCACCCACAGAAGATGAACTACACCAAGAGGTTTGAAAAATGACTGCAAACATATACTTTTAAATTACCTTTTTAGGAAGTAGGTACTAAACCAAAGATTTTCGTATCTCACAGGGTTTTTGTTGTTCAGGATAGATCTAGCAAATGTTTAGTAGACCTTTTCCTTGTTTCAAGATATACAGATTTAGGTATGTAACTGCTATTAAAACTAGGGAGACAAACCCTGATGTTTTTTATATCTTGCATTGCAGAATTAAAGGCAGTGAACAGCAGGCAGGCCAGTTTGTAGGCTCTTTGCACAACTAAGCCCATTAGCCCCTTTAGCAGTAGACAGCTTGCTTTTCCTTTTAACACTGATTCAAGATTTGGGGGTATATTTACCTCTCCATGTATGCACATACAGGTTCACAGATTCATCTACTGTTAATGCTTCATGGAACTTTCCTGAGGTGTTAGAATTGGGAGAAGGTAAATGTCAAAAGAATTAGTAGTTCTCTTCAAAAATCTAAAAAAAAAAAGGCTAATTGGATTTCTGTTGATGAACCTTTAGGGAAAATGTTATACTGGGTCCTTTTTTGTCTCTGTACGATATTGTCTCTTTGATGGAAAATTCCATTTATTTTAGAACTCCACTGGTTATTTTAACTCAAATATATTTCTCTTCTGTGCCCTAACATAAATTAAGGTTAAATTACAGCCCTAATGAAAAATTATGGAAATAGAGTCAAAAAATGAATTGCTCACAAAACTCTTTGCCTTCCTTTCTTGCAGATTAAGCATTGGCAAATGCAATTAGACAGACATAGATTAAAAATGTCAAAAGTTGCAGAGAGGTAAGTATATTGTCATATCTTTTTTTCAATTAGACTGACAACTATTGTGAAAATATCAGTATGAAATAGCCTCAAAGAAAGAGGGGCAAAGGAGCTCAGGTTTCCAGTTGCGATTTCACTTTAAGTGGAAGGTATGGAATTCTTTACTGATAAAAGATGGCCCAGATATTCTATGATACATTTATGATAAACCCAAGAGTCACTGAATGTACCTCTGACCACCTGATCACAAGTTTAACCTTGCACTGGCAGGGAGGCTAAATGGAAATAGATCTGGGGTTACCATTTTAGTATTTCAAAAGGGAAATCACTGATAAAGGGAGCGAACTGATTGGCAGAGCTGGCTGGGAGAAGAGCCTGGTGCTTGAACAAAGTGAGTCTGAGCTTACTTCAGGTCAGAGGATGTAACACTAGTAGGAATCTTTCTCCAAATGAGGCCAAAATTTGTCAGGAATGGGCTAGAAAGCAAATAAAACAAAAAGCCTCTTGGAAATACTAACTACAGCATATGTAGTGAAGAGGTAGAGAAAAGGAATGCTCTATTTTACTTATCAAGTACAGAGATAGTGAAAATTGAGCTGCATAAGACTTAGTAAAGGAAATTAAACCAAATACAAATGGTTCTTCATCCTCTCATATATATTTGTGTGTCTACTTATATTTGTGTATGTATGCATAAACTTAAAACCACACACATATATAAAGAGAACAGGTTAAGAATATGTGTTTGCTGAACAGTAACAATAGAAATAGAGACTAAATATGATGTGAATAGGAATGAAGAAAAAGAATATTTTTCCTCATTTGTCCAGAATTTTCAATAATTATGGGACAAAAGGAAATGGAAAGCAGGAATAAGGGTATAGGAGATGTAAATTACCAGAACTCAAGCAAAACTTTTTCAACTGAGTCAGACAAATTCATGAATACTGAAGAATTTGGGGAAAAATAAGGCATGTTTTTGAAAGCAATGCACCTGGGAGTAGTGCCATTTGATTAGGAAATACTAAAAATATTAAATGTATTTAAAAGAGGAAGAAAGGAGTCATAGCAGCTGCAGGGCCAATAAATACTACCTGAATACCATGCTGTGTTTTAGAACAGGTTTTAAAGGAACTGATAATTAAAACCGTAGGGTTATAAAACATGTTCCTTTGTGAAAGCAAACGTGCATGGAAGCGGTTGCTTGATTTAATTTATCAGTGCCTGAAGGACCCCCAAAAGGAGCTGTGTGGAAGTAATGGGGAAGTTTGTAATTTATTTTATATTATTTCAGCTCTTGAAAAACCTGAGCCACCCCTCCTTCTTCGGAGGTCCACTTAAAAGGCTTGAGCAAACCTACTTTAGCCTGAGCATGCAGCTGACTTTTGAGTATATGCACGCCCGGTTACCATGGTTCAGTTGGTGCAAGTAACTTGTTAACTGGGTAAACTGATCAGGTTTCTCACCTCTTGACATGACAATGTTTGATTCTTTTGTTTTCCTAGTCTATTAGCTTATACAGAGCAGTATTTGGAATATGATCCTTTTCTTGTGCCCCCTGATCCCTCAAACCCTTGGATATCAGATGACACCACTTTCTGGGAACTGGAGGCAAGGTATATAATTTTATTTCTTCTTTTGGACAAAGGGGTATAACAGGCTTTTCTTGAAATGTGAAGATGTCAGACAGAGGTAGGCAAATACTGAGCCAAAAGGGCAATGCAGTATCCTTTTGGTCTTTGAAGCTTTACAGTTTCATAAAATGGGAAGAGCTGTGGATTAATAAATCTGTGTAAAAGTTACAGTAACAAGTTTCCAAGGTTCCCATGTGAGGAAAAAGGACACCTTTAAAAGTCTGATGGCATTTTTGAGTTGGAAGTCCTTATTTTTCTGTGTAAATGCATGCATATTAACTTCATCCTTGTTGCTCATCTCTGCACATTGCACAGATATGAGCTATCTGGAAAGTGGAAAGCAATCTCGAAGTGCAAAGTCTGTGGCTGAACTTTAAGATGGTCTAAATTACAAACACAGAGTATGAGAATACTGAAGTACTGCTCATTGTGTGTTCTGTGTTTTTCCAATTCTGTAGCAAAGAGCCAGGACAACAGAGGGTGAAACGGTGGGGGTTCGGCATGGATGAAGCTTTGAAAGACCCTGTGGGAAGAGAGCAGTTTCTCAAATTCCTGGAGTCAGAATTCAGTTCAGAAAACTTAAGGTAAATGAGAGTGATTTTGTTTTTTACTGCCTTGTAAGGTACACTGGTGGGGTTTTTTTTTTGCCTGATGCTTTTCATTTTTTGAACCCTTAAAAAGTTTTCCTGTCTTACCTCTCAGAATCCATTCCTGCACATTGCCTCCTGCTCCCATATTCAGGCTGAGGGGAAGATTGATACAGTTAGCAGAGACTCAAATGAAGCATATTGTCCCATTCATGTCCAACATTTGGTCAAACTACCATGTAAGAGGTTTTCTCTCAGCTCATTTTATTAAACAGGTTTAGAACATTGATCTGTTCAAAGCCTGTTCAGTATCTTTTATTAATCCAATATTATAAGAACAGTAAAATTAAAAGACAGATTTTGTTAAAAAATAAATAAAGGATTTTAAAGTAAAATTCACAGACTCACTGTTGGTCAGTTCTCTTGGGAACATTGGTCTTTTAAGTATCTCCAACAAGATTCTAGTACCTGTGGGTCTAACACAGCAAAAGCAGTGTGACAGCTAGCTCTCAGATTCCTCAATAATTGCAAAATTGAAAGCTGTTGCTAGTATATGAGACTTAAATACTATTTTCTTTTGAAGTACATACACAGAATTACTTTTAAGTGAAGGAGAACAATTATTTGATTCTAAACAATGATAGCCCGTCCACTGGCTAATAGCATGTATCGCTGTTGCTGTTCTAAGGAAGATATGTTTTGGTAAGAATTACTTCAGAATGATTAATAACAGCCTTTCTATAGATAAGACAAATTGAATGTAGTAAAAAAAAGCATGGATGACATATTTTTCTGTTTATTCCACATTCTTGTCAGATGTCATCTATATCACTTCCCATTTACCAATAGTTTAAGGAGCATAAAATCCTATTTGCACACATTCTAGAGCTCAGAAAAATCATAAATGACTTTTTTCTGTGACAATTCTCAGTCTAAAGTGGTGCAGCATAGTCTTTCATGCTAGTTACATTTATGTAGCATCTTACAAGGCCCATTTAGCATTTTGTGATATGTGTTCATAAATCCTGAGTAATTGCACAGACCTCCTTGTTGTTAATGTAAGTTTATCAGCAGAATAACTGCAGGTGGACCATGTTCATATTCAGATATTGAATTCAAACAGGCTGACTGTGTTCATATTCAAACACAGAATTTTGCATCATAAATGTATATTAGGTACTTTAGACCTTATGATGTTTTCCAACTACTTTGTTTGCCATTACCCCATGGAAATATGGCCCAATCTACATGTGTATGTTGATAACTTCATTAGTGACAGATACAGATGTTTTTTTAATTAAAAAATCCAAGTGATGAAATGAAATTTTAAAAATCAGAATAATACCAAGAAAAGAAAAGGTAACTTTTTTATTTCAAGATCATCCTGGTAATTCCTTATGCAGAGCAGCTGTTCAAACACGAATCTCTCCCACTCAGTGTGTGCTGCACTTTATGCTTTTTCTGTGATTAATTTGTCTCTCTGCCAACTAGACTGTTACCCACATAATCCCTAGGTCTTTCTTCTAATCCTATTTACAACACTAACCACAGGCAAACTGCAAGTGACTGATCCAGAAAAAATTCCCTAGAGAAATTTGTCCAGAGCTCATTCCTTGACATGTTGTCTACTTTTCTGTCTCTCTCTGAATTCTTATAATGGCATTATAAATTATAATATCTGAGCAAAGGTGAATCTGAGCTTAAAGTTTGTCCCTGGCAAGAATCAGGCAGGGAAACAAACTTGCACTGAAAAGGTGCTTTCTGTGATGATTAGCTGAAGGAAAACTGCCTCAAAAGCCCAGAATTATGTTTATAAATTCTCAAAATGTAAGGAAATCAGTCCAGTATTAGGCTCACACAGTAAAGTCAGGTTAGAAAACATGATTGTTTTAAAGTCTGTTATGTGTGGGAGTCAAAATGTTGCAGATCTCAGTAAAAGAAATTAAAAGCTTGATGTTTTCAGGCATTATGTCTGAATAAAGCTGAAATTGAAAGATCACCTGTGTCTTTGCTCACCCTTTAGCCCCATGGTGGGAATTTGGGGTTTTTTAGGGGAGATTTTTTGGATTTGACAGCCACCATGAGAAAAAGATTCATTTCTGGCCATACCTTCTCACTTCAAAAAAAGTGAACTCGAGTCAGTGGCTGGCTCTTGTCCTTTTTACAGATCTAATAGTGATAATGATGTTTTACAACACAATGAAACCTACACTGAGATAGACAGCTGTGACCTTGAATTCAAGCTACCAAGTGCGGTACACAGGATACAGCAGGGGACTGCAGACACTACAGAGAGTTTCAGTATTAGCTGAGTATGTCTCCCAGCTCGCTTTGGTGAAAGAAATACTGAAACTGTAAAATAAGTCTACCAGATTCATCTTTTCTATTCAAGTGTGATTATGTTATATAGGTAAACGTCCCAGTGTTACTATTTCGTTAACTTAACTGTGAGTGCCTAAGCTGCCTGAGAATCTCATTCTTATTGGATATAGATCCTGTCCTAAGAAACAGAACAAGGATGAAGAAACTTGAGCTGTGAGTTAAAACTAGAAGTATAACGATTAGGAATGCAACCAGGTTTCACCTTACTCTATCTCAAGGCTTTTTTCTTTGTCTGTAAATCGGGATTAATAGTATTTCACTCTCTAATGGGGTGTTTTAAAGCATAGCAAAGGAATAAAACTGCCTAAGCAGTTTTCTCAGCGTGGTAGCTTCATTACAGTGACTCAAGTTTGCTAGCCCCCAGTTTGGAGTCTGCATTCACCTAATGCAGGCTATGACTTGTAATCTCTTGTTAGCATGCAGATTTTTTTTGAGGGATTGCTTTGTATGCTGCTCACTACACAAAACAAAGAGCTAATGAAACACACAATTTGGATAATAGATTTATAAATTTCCCACTGCCTATTACACAAACGGTGGCCATTGTTTAAAATTCACAAGACATAAGTTTGAGCATGATCCAACGCTATCAAGAATGGTCACAAAGCTGTCCAAGCACTGAAAAAAGGACTTTTTAAAGACAGAAAGATAATGAAATGAATCTTACTGCAATATGGCACCTGTAAACCTAATTTTGTTACAAAATAAAGAAAATCCCGATTCCTATCCACATCTTTTCTTTGTCTGTAGTGCTGCAGAATTTTTTACAAAGTTAGTATGCATATGCTCGCTGTACGTTTGCTCCCCAGTGGTTGTTTTGTAGGAATTGCAGCCTAGATCTAAAGGGTTTCAGGTCTGCCAGCCTGAAAGCCTGTCCAACTCGTCACACAGTACTGCACTAGGTGCGATCTCCAAGGAAGAACTAGGACTGCAGAAGCCTCCTAGGACAGTGAAAGGAGAATGGTGTCAGCACATCTTCCATGATGTGCAGAAAGAAAAGCCACTGGCCCCCTTGCCCCTTCCTTTGATTCTTATTCATTAGCTTCCATAATATATGAGTAAATAGGGAATAGGGGGCTTTGAGTTCTGGTTGTCCCAAAAAAGAATAAAGTGACTAAAGAGTTAGCTAAATTTAGATGTTTTCTCTCAATGAATTATCTCTGACCATCCCCCTGCAGGCTGAGATTTTGTGAGGTGCTTATTTTGGACTCATCCATTAAAGTTGTAGAAATGTTCTTTACATAGAGATGGAGGCTTCCATTATGTCCCATAGAAAAAAAAACCACAAAACCCTAACATACACTACTGAACATTTGCAGTTGTGCCTACAATGTGATTCAATCATAGTGCTTAATTTTATGTTTAATTTACTTCAGTGGTTCTGGCTATTCTTCTAACACCATAACAATGCTTTTAGTAGAGAGGAGGGAGAACGGTGCTGTAAAATTCTGTTTAATAGAGCTTGTATCACTTTCATTTCTTTTGCTCTTTATTACTGATAACCACTCTGATGACTTTAAATGTAAGACATTTCTGTTTTCTCTGATGGCGGAGGTGTTCTGCATGTTATAAAGTATGAAGATTGATTAAGTGTAGTTGATGTCTGTCCTGCAAGTCTGAGCAGAAGTGTTGGTAAGGATACTTTCCCACACTGTGTGGGAACTGATGTTTATCCTTCACACTGTTTATTACATTGATTATGAGGCCCTGTTTTGGTTGCTAATAACCTGACCAAAATTTAATCCTCAAGGCTGAAATTGCCTGTGCTTTATTTCTAATTCAGACTCAAGCTTAAACTCCAAGTCCCAGCAATGTTGCCACTTCTGCAGATTAGATAAGGAACTAGTTGCAAGATTAGGTGTTTTTCTCTGTCATTATCTTGAAGATCTTCAGCCCTACCACATCTTGAAGCTTGAAGTTATACTTGACAAGAAGGTGGACACTAGGAATCAGAGTAGTCTTTCCTATCTCTAAAAAAAACTGTAGCTGATTTTCTCCATGGAGTTTGTTGAGGTTTTTGTTTGCTTTTGCTGAAAATGTCCCCTGACCTGTTGTGTCACGTGCAGTGGGTGCAAAGCCCACATAATTCCCCCTTCATTGTCTCCACACTGCCTAAACCTCACACATTTTTTGGAGAATCACTGCAGCCTTCCTCTCACTCTGTGTTCCCATGTGCTAAGTTTAAGTGATTAGCTTGATCTGGGATCTGCTGATGGCTACATCTGACATTTTAGTCAGTTAATGGGACAGAACCTGTGTTGCAGCTGTGTTGCTGTTCTGTATATCTGGCAATGCCAGCATCACTTTGAAAGTAATCCAGCTGGAGGACATAATCCCTAGATGTCTTGCAACATGAGTCTTACCATGTCATGTGGCTGGATGTGTAACTGTCATATGCTATACACTGTCACTCGGCTACACAACTGGTGTGTCACCCAGTGTGTGGCAGCCCAAATGCTGGGACAGAAGACAACAGTAAGGTTTAGATCGAGCTACTCAGGTTTCTGTTTGAATGGTATTGAGCAGCTTCTAGAGAGGTCTCACAGACTCCAGCTTCATCTGTGCTATTGGTTGCCATGGGATATTCAGAAAAGTTATTTTTGAAGATGCAAGAAGTGGCAGCCTTATTTCTGGAATTTCCTAACTTTGCATATTTGACTTTAACTCTGTGGGAGGAGGGCAGGCATTTTTTTCTTGAAAGATCAGTAAGTAGATTGAAATGTTAAGAAGTGTGTTAGCTGTAAAGCACCCTAGACATAACATACCACTTTTCTTCCCACTTTACAGGGGTTTCTATATTTAGAACCTCACAGTTTCAATAGGGGTTTTGAATGCTAGTGTTAGAAGGGAAAATAAAACTATTCTGTCAGAGATGGTGTTCAGCCTCTAAGGATCTGTCTATGCAACCTGCCTATTCTATGCTGGAAGCTGAATGTGTCCTCAAATAAGTTAAATTTATCTTCCATCTATTTCCCCCTAATTGAGTATAACCTGCTATATAGAAACAGGTTACTTGCAGAAGAAAACGGCATCCTAACGCATGTTTGTGGTGACTGCCAGAAGTATTGGCAGTGATATAATGGAACAAACTAGAATGTGACAGCTCTGAGCTAGACCCTGTTTTACAAAGAACATCCTTCCCTTTCATTTTTCTATTCCTTACCTGACTTTGACACATATGAGTAATCAGTCAGTCCCAGAAGATGCATTTGAAGGGGTAAGCACCGCAGGATACACACTTTTAAATGCAAATATCGAAAGCAGCTTAAGGAAACCAAAGTAGGTTGCCTAAATCTGACAGACTGAACTGAATTAGAGTTTGTGAGCTGTGCAGTTTTTAAAGTTGAGTTATGAGGCCTCTATGCTTACTGCATTGCCACCAGATTCTCATGATATGTCCTCAGGCTCTGTGCTGATCTATGTTCAATTCACATTGCAGTTCATAAGGATAAGTGATACTGCCCAGAATTTTTGAAACTGAAGTTCTGTTGGCACAGACTCCCTTTGTGACCTCGAGAAGCCATTGTACATTATTACATTATTAACACATTAGCAAAACTGGAGCAATATTACTTCTCTCTCTTGGAGAATCTTAAGGAATCAGTAGATAGATTGTGCTTAGATACCATGGAAATTGAAGAGTGTAGAGATACCTGAAAGTCTTCTCAGTAGAGTGAAGCCATAATGGGTTGTGAGCAGTGAGCATGGGCTCCTTCCATCTGTGCTACAAAGGAGTTTCAAAACAGGACTATGAAGGACTAATTGCTTTCTGCAATCATCACAAGTAAAGAATGTCTTACCGGAGGAATGCTGTAAGGTTTCCTTTGCTGTGCTTTACTATCCTCTTTTAAGAGTTGTTGCAATAACTATATTTGAATTTGGATTGAGGGGGGTATCATTTTCCTTTCTTGGGGGGTCTGAGTACAGTTCTTTCACCCTGTCCCATCTTTGTTTAACTAAGCTAAGAAAACTGATGTCACAAAGCAAGCCAGGCATTGTCTCAGCATTGGGTCCTAGCTGAATTTAGAATTATTTTATGCAGTGAGCTAGTCTGAGCACCCATAGAAGAAATAATGATAAAACAATCATAATAGCAAATGAAAAGTAATTATCAAACATATAGCTAGCCAGCTGTGTTCTCAAAGTGCTCAAGACCTTTTTAGTGGTCCCGCTCCAGACTGAGTGCAAAGGATACAACAAACTGGCCTGCACTGTATGTAGCTGCCCAGTGCTGGTTTGCTCAGAAGCAGAAAAGAAGAGAGAATGGGTACTTCCATTCAGAATTTTAGTAAAAATATGCATAGAATACAATACTGAAGAAAGAAATTAAATTACAGTGAGCAAAACAAGTACTTTACCAGTTTCTACATGATTTGTGAAGTACTGGTAACAAAATTACACAGTTTATAATTTAGCAGGGCTCTGAGAGATTCATGCAGATAGCAAGAACATAAGTTCTCATTATTTTTTGAAAGAATGTAAAAAAGCAATAGATTTATAGGCAATATAAGCACTGTGGTTCAGGTGAAATGAAATCTCAGTTTAATTCCAGTTGAATGAAAACCTTCCCATAAGCAAGTTGCACATATGTAAATAATGAAGGATTTTCCACACGTCTCATGAAGAGGCTTGTAATAATTGCTTCTCAACATGGTTGGATTGCCTAAGACAGTATATCAAAATGCTGATCCCCACATAAAATCACAGATCTTTCTTAATGTAGCATGGTTTAGATTAAAACTTCCGTTCATTATTTATTTTTTCTTAAGAACAATGAAAAGTTTGAACTCTTCATTACTGATGATTCTGAATTGGAAGTCACGATGCTGTATTGTGCCACAGGTTCTGGTTAGCAGTAGAAGACCTGAAGAAGAGGCCTATCCGTGAAGTTCCTACTCGCGTCCAAGAAATCTGGCAAGAATTTCTTGCTCCAGGTGCACCCAGCGCTATCAATCTAGATTCAAAAAGTTATGACAAAACCACGCAGAATGTAAAGGACCCTGGAAGATACACATTTGAAGATGCTCAGGTCAGTTTGCAATCCTGTTTGGGGACATTTGAAATAGAATATTGTCTAGTGAAATATATTTACAAAGGAATAAGATATATTTGGGAATTAACTGGTAATGCTGTTTCTTAAAATGCCATTTTGGCAATGCAAATTAGTAACATTCTTTCTTTCATGAAGCCTATGAATTATTAAAGATCTTCATGAAACTTCTGCACCTGGTATGGAGTCACCAAGTGACTTTAAATAAAGCACAGCATGTAGTGCGGTGAAAATGGTATTTTCATGTTCTTGGCTTTTTAATTTTCTTATTCAGTCACATTTAAAGTTCCCCCCCCCTTTAGTTCTTCCTTTGAAAGACTTATCTTGATGCGGACTTAAAATCAATTCTTGCAATGCACATCCAAAGGTGTTGTTATCACTTGTAGGATTCATAGGTTCCTGTCATTAAAGAATATGACCCATGTGAGAAATAACATTTTGTAACAGCTTGTGCAGAAGTATCATATTTCATGGATGTATATTCTATACTTTATTAATCTACTATCTACAAAACATGGGGCAAAGGTCCTAAAGATCTTTTCTTCAGTAATCAGTATTACAACAGTAAAGAACAGTCTGTAAATGTCTGATTTGTCTTTTGGGGGCCTGATTTAGTCACAATTTGAATTCTATCATCAAAAGATACTCTTCACCAGAGCTATATTTGTGAAAGTCCATATATTTTTGAGTTAGGAATTAAAAGTTAAAAAATCAGAATGGTAAAATAGAACTCTGAGTTTTCCTCAGAAGAAAAACCAATTACTTCTGCATTAAATATGACACTTCATGTAACTTATAACTTAATATTTCATCTTTGCAGACTTCTGAGGAAAGCAATAGAAATAATTGGTTTCACAGTAAAAGCAGTAGAACTGGTACCATCCTCCCTTTTTCATCAGCAGCCCAGTGATGAAAATTTAATTATTAATGCAAAGTGAAATGGTGTCAAAAGGAGAGATTGAGATCATATCCCTGCAGAATTTCCTGCAGCTTGATTATTAGGTCATCATCTTGGGAGTCAGGAGATGGTGCAGCAAGTCCTACATCGGAGAAAAATGAATTGAATTGGGACTTTCTGCTTTTTGGCAAAGTGTGTCTGCCATGAATAGGAGGGGGATTCATTCTGCCACCTTTACATTTTGCTATTAGAAGAATAATAATCTGTAATACAGCAATAATGTTTTCATTAGATGTTATGTCATGCTCAATGTTTTGAAGTACTCTGCCTTAAGCCAGACACATAGGTATTACTTGCATCTGCTGACCCCCATGCAGCATATAGCAAAGACTTAAGTTACACAAAGAAAATAGTTTAGTAAGATTAAAGGTTTTAAAAAAATATGTCTTCACAGTTGAGTCAGTAAAGGACAATGGAACTCCTTGCCAGTATCCAATTTATGTTTTTTTAATAGGTGTAAAATTTCAACACCATTTTACTTCCAAATGTCTCTGGGGTTGGTTTTTTTCCTTCATTTATGAAAGGCGTGGAATATGCAGCCCTTATGGAAGCAGGACCTTTCCTCCTGCCAGACTTCTACTTATTTGATCCAGTTCAGCATACAACTTGAAGCTGGAAAGCTTCCATTTCTCTGGGAAAGGGGGCAGACTGTACCCGTGGTGTTCTGACTTGAAGCTTTAGGACCTTGTTACTAAATGCGCCACCTGAAGTGCCAGGGTTTTATCAGAGGTAGGGCTCTGCCTCTGCAACGGGCTCTTTATGGCTTGCCGGTTAGGAAGAGACCACTTATAAGTCATTCTGATAGCCAGCAGGTCATTTAACTGTGGTTAAGAATGTTTTGAAAAGCATTTCCAGACTCGAAAGATGGAACTCCTTGTCAAATGAAAGTGATACATAAGTAAAAATAGACTGTGCTAAATAACATCCAGCCTCAATTCTCAGCTCATGTACATTAGCAATACAGCCTAATTTATTCTTGCTTTTAGAGGATTGATATTTTGCACAGAAATAGCATTCTAATGCCCATTACCATTGATATGTAGCACAGGAGCAGAGTCCTTTTTCCTCTCTGTTGACTGTATTGGCTGCTTTTGTAGAAACAGAGTAGAATAAAAACTCCCCAAATTAACCAACCTAAGTTTTGAATATATACCAGCATTTCTCTCCTTAGTGCAAGAAATACAGTGAAAGGCACTTAGAATCATTTCTAGTTTCTAATACTACAAAATTTTTAAAACTGCTTTAATTTAACCTTGCCCTAGCTTTCAAGCAAGGTCATTTGGTGTTTTTTTGGTTTTGTTTGGATTTTTCTTTCCTATTCTCTAATTTTATGCAGTACCAAACTGATAAACAGTATTTATTTTACAGTTTATTTGTTATTTTCTGGTTGCTGCTACAAGTTTCCTACAGTAAAAAGCAGGGTTTAAGTAAAAAATAAACCAGATACAGCTAACACAATTCAGTGGATTGTTTAAAAATACTTTGGGTAGTATTTCCTATTTTTATAGAATGCTCCAAAAAAAAAACAAAACAAACAAACAAAAAAAACCCCCAAACCTCTAGAAACTGTCCATGTCATTTGTTTTCTGGATAAGGTTTTCCAAATTTTCATATGCCTCTGAAGAATAAATACTTGAAAATTGAATTCGCCTGATTTTCAATTTGCATATGTATTTTCCTTATGATATTGTCAGCTGAAAAACAAACTAAACATCTGTTCAGAGGATGTTTTCAAGAGTAGCAAGGGGATATCCTCTCTGAAGTAACCTGCTATCCTGTAAGACTTCCTATTCAAAATAGTGCTAGCTGGTACACATTCCACAACTGAAACATATATGACTGCCTCCTATTTCACTTAGGTCTTCTTTTATGGGAGTAACAGCTCCTTCTTTCCCTTTCAGGAGCACATTTACAAACTGATGAAAAGTGATTCTTATCCTCGTTTTATACGATCCAGTGCCTACCAGGAGCTGCTACAGGCCAAGAAAAAGGTATTGGTCCATCTTGCCTTTGTCTTGCCGCTGTGCAAAGCAGTGGTTATGTTTGCAACAATACTCAGTCTTCTCTCCCCTGTGCCAGTGCAACTGGATATCTGGTAGGTGACCAGCTTGGCGTGTTTGGAGGGTCACATACACACAGGAGTTCGATATACATATATGTGTATATATCCTGCATGTGGGCATGTTTCAATAAGTTAATCTAGCAAAACTTATTTTTATTTTTACATCCCATATTGTACTGTTTTCTCTGTTATGAAGCACCTTAAGTTGCAAAGTGCTTTACAAATACATTAAAAAAATAAAATAAAATCCCAGAAGAATAGTCTTTCATGTTTGCAAGTTTGCTTATGTAATAATTGTTGTTCTCTTTATTCCACCTATAAACAGAATGCGTTTAGAAACAATCTTATTCATGTAAATAACTTATAATTTCAACTATAAATACAGGGGCTTCCTAATTCTCTTTCTTTCCCTATTATTACATGAATAGTTTTGAGTAGGGTAGGAATCTGACTTAAAAGACTGATCATGTCACACTTCAGCAAACAGAAGCTCATGTCTTGGTATGTAATATTGGATTTAAAAAGTCCAGATTATGGAATGAGTTTTGAACAGACACAGCCCAGAGTATGTGGAACAGCTTGTGCAATGCAGTCATGATAAAAACTTTTATTAGTGGGCTGTAAATAGTAATCTGCTAGAACCAGCTGGGAGCCCTGTGCCTTGCAAAATCAGGGCCCTGATCATTACTGGAACAAAGTAGCTACTAACACCATAGCATTCTACTGTTTATAATGACAACCTAAAATTATATGAAAGTACTGTGTGATTTTGTTTTTTGTTCAAACATTGATTTCTGAAGATCCAATATAGAGAGAGATGTTGAAAATACCAGAAAGCTACAACTGTCCGTGTGAAGCCCTTAAGTTTGTGAATGTCAATTCATTAACACAAGATGTGCACTTCATTATTTCTTTTTATTTGCAGTTTTTCTTTAAATCAAACCAGTTTGGTCCCCATGAAAATTTTTTTGGTTGAATACTGTATCTGCTTTGCCCATCCCCTGTTTTTTCAGATTCCCATAGCTTCATACCTGTGTTTGCTTCCTGATTTATACAAACCTTGTTTTGCAGTCCATTGTTTCATCAATCTTTCTTTTCTACTCCATTTTTTCTTGCTTTTCTTTTTCTCGTCCTTTTTATTTTGTTTTCTTTTTTATTATTATTATTTTAAATTTAAGTTGGAAAACACTCTGGATCGTCGAACATCTTTTGAGAAATTCACACGCAATGTGGTAAGTTTGTTGCCTCGGAAGACTAGTAAACTTGATGGGACATCCTTCTCCCCTTCCCCTCACTGACCCTATTTTCCCTTTTTGCTTATTTAACCTGACAGTTAAAAGTGTATTCATCACAGTTTGTGAATTTTCCTAGGAATGTCAGTTTTATAATGTGCTTTCATTACAACCCCTCCTCCCTAGTCCCTTTCCCACTGACCTCAGTAGTCTCACATGGAGGAATGGACCTTTGGGAGCCATGATTTTTGCATTGGGAAGCATGAAATTAGTCACTTTTTATTATTTTTTTTTAATTGTAGACTCTGTGAAAACCTGCTTGGTGGTGTTCCTTTTTCTGGTACCTCCAAAAATACTAAGTCTAACACTGTTTGGCTACATTGGACTTCAATGCTCTCTCCTTTTTATTAAACTAAAAAGGAGCTTGTCCTTTTTTTTTTTTTTTAATTTGGCACAGGGAAAAATAAGCAATAATAATTCTCCCATCTTCCTTAACATCTAGCACAGCTTCTTCTGGACCAAAGGATTCATGCTGGTGGTGTGCAAGGGTTTGATTGGGATTTCATTTTGATAATGGACTACAAGGACTGTTTTTTAATATATAATTTTCAGAAGCTGTTTCACAAAGGTAAAAGTGAAAGCTGGTATACTTGCAGTGGGCATTCTCCTGCCACCTGCCAAAAGATCCACTGATTTCCTGATATGTGGGATTCTTTTTACTTATCCAGTTTCTTTGGACTTTTTTAAACATTGTGAAAGTGCAAACTAAAGCATTCAACGCATTTATTTTTGTAGGGCAGAAACATCCCTATTTTCCCATGCCATAAAAACTGTACACCAACACTGAGGGCGAGCACTAACCTGTTATGAAAGAGGTAGAAAGATCTTGGATTATACTCAAGTTTGTCTGCATTGTCTGTTGAATTGTGCAGGTGACGCTGCTGTGTGTGTGTGTGCGTCTGTGGCTTTTTTGTGACCTGGTTAGTGGAGCTGTGTGTATTGAAATGACAAATATGACAGCTTTCAGCAAAGATCATGGTTTTTGTTTTTTAGTTCCTAGGGAAGGAGAAGCAGTTCTCAGAAACTGCCTCCCCTATGATGAGACTCAAGAGTATTTCCTCCGCTATTTAAAATATATATATGTATATATATACTTTCTAGTAACCAAAAAAATAAACACAGTGAAAGAAGAAAGTTTTGTGAGGCTGTGGGAATATCTCACATGTTAAAACAAAACCGTAATTCTTTAACCTTTCTTATAGGTAAAGGCTTCCTGTAATATGTTTTGAATCCACTGTAATCAGGAAGAAATTTGGATTCAATGGGACAAAGTCAGTAAAGGACACTAAAAAGTAAATAAACAGTCACAAAGGAAACTATCCCAATGATTGAAACAAAAACCCCTCTATTTTGCATGGTGGTGTTGCCATAGCATGTTGCAGTGTTATTTGTGTGTTGTCTAAGCAGGTTGATCAACAAAACAACATTGTACATTATAACATTGTACATGATTATTACATGACAATCCCATAGGAAGTTCCATATTAATAAAGAGCCTATGTTAATAAAAGAGAGTGTGGAGAGTAGGTAGTACATCTGGGACCTCTGAGAGTCAGTCTTGTTCCCAGTCACGGTGCCTGGCAAGCATCGATAACAACTTTTATTCATGAGAGTTTAAGTAGCCCACAGATCAGGAGTTGGTTGTGGTAAAGAGTATGTAAACAGATGGCTATAAGGAAAAAAATAGCAAGCTGTAGACAGATGTGAGGAGAATACAGCACAAAAAGGGAAAAGCTGAAGACAGACTGGGAGGCACTAAGAGGACTCTGATAATCCCTCTTAGAGCAGTGTTACTGATCAGCCAGAAGTTCTGTGCACAAACACTGAAGCATTATGCCCTGCAGGTGTACCCAATTTTCATCGTGCTAATCTCAGGGCAGAAGTACCAGAATAGCAGGATGCCAGAGATGCAAGGCAGGCCCAGTAAACCAGCTGTGAGCTAGAAATGGGAATGAGGATTTCTGGATGTGAAGTGTTAGTGCTTCAGTAGAAGAGGGTGGTTATTTCTTCACAGAGCAAGCTATAAAATAAAAACTGTGGTTTTGCTTTTCCTCAAACTACTACCTGTGAATCCGGGTGGAGTCTGTCAAGTCGTGTCAGGTATGAAAGTAAAACATGTCACTGCTAGATCTGTATACTCCATTAGATTGGCAGCTCTGAGGCTTGCAAATTAATCCACTTTGTCAGGATGCTCAGGTGCAAACCTTTTCTCCAAGACAACTGACTTCACATCACCCACTGCCCCAGGAACCCTTGCCACCAGGCATCCTTGTCCTTCTATTCTTATTCCCAGTTATGATGAGTTTATAATATGTAATTATCTACCCTGGTACAGCAGGGTATGAGGGAAATGTTTCTCAGAATATCCCACAGTGGAATGGTTAACTTGTTCAACTGTGAAGGAACTGAGGTATAGATCTGTTCTTCTGATTAATACAGAAAACAGGTGTGAAACAGGTCTTCTACAACCTGGATAAACACTGTCATTTCTGAATGATTTAGTTAGATGAAAATTACAGTTTCTCTTCTGCTCTGATGGTTTAGAAAATTCAGACTAATTTTCACTTTTTTTCTTTTTTCTCACTTATATCAAAGTGGGTTTCTATTGAGCTAAATTAGACCTCAGCTTTTTCCATTTGAAGTGTTTAAAAAGCCCAGAAACCTTGCTTTTATCTAGGGACTGAACCTGAGAAGTTGACCTCGTAATTCATAACCTGATTTTTTAAGACAAAGACTATAAGAGGCTCCTGATCAGTGATACCTGAAAGTGGGTTATACTTGATACATAAAGCATTTGTTAAAATATAAAGTTTAGAAATTTTGTAAAGTCAATCCCTCTGTACTACTGCTGGAATTAAGTGTAAATAACCTAGTATGTTGAGTCATTGTTCTAGTCTGATGGGGAAAATATGAAAGTGGAGCTATATACATGGAAAAACCCTAGGCTCAGCTCTGCATTTCTTCAACAATGGAGAGTTTTCTTTCCAGAAAACTTTGAATAAGCTGGTGTACTTTATGAAAGCCCTAAATGCTCAGTTTAAAAACATCATCTAGCTTGCTCTGTAGATTTTATGGTGCAAAATCCCTAATGCCCTTGGCAGTACACAATAGACAATATTAATAGTGCTAGAAACAGGTCTGATTCACATGCAGTATAGATGAAGTGATAGCAAACTGGCATTTCCTATACATAATATTTATTACCTAACACTTTGTAGTAAGCATAGCCATCTTTGGTTTGTCTCACTTATTCACACTCCAGGGAATTGCATGGAAATACAGAGCCCATACACATCAGCACTACTGGAACGATGCCGTTAGATAAGTGCATTGCCTTGGAGTAACATGGGCAACCACAAGTGTCACAGCTCTGACTCCAAGGCATGGGAGCAATGACGGTATGCTCTGTGCTCCCTCCCTGCCCAGCCAGCTCAGCCACTCAGGTTTTCCTTTGGGAATAATTAAGGTCTAGTCACCTGCAGCTCCCTAAGGAAGAGAGTACAGAAGCTAAAAGCATAAATCAGGGAGCCTGAGAATTTCATTGGTTGCTACAGTAGGGGAGAGAGGGAAATCAGATGTTTCTGTGTCATTAAAAAACTGAAATTCTTTTGAAGAATTCACATAGGAAAAAAACATTAGACCATTTCATGCATGAGGTGTGAAATGTGAAGGCCATTGAAAACAGCATATTTTCAGAGGCTTAGTCCAATGTCACTTGACATAGCAAATTATGGTCTAAAGATGGAAATTAAAACTCATAATAATAGCTTCCTCAGTTCTTATCAGTGAGGGATAAACTTCCTAGATTAAACCAGTGTAACCTCTTGTCATGTCAAAATCTGTCCCATTATTGAGAAAGAAGGCAGACAATATATCAATTTAATCAAGGTGTGGTTTTTTTGTATATGCCCAGGTAAAACTTACTTACACAAGGCGCTATTGTGCCAGACCATAAGTCCATCTAGCACTGAAATGCTGCTGACAGCTAGATTTTTCTTGAAAATATCATTGTGAATAAGCTTCAATGCAGTATCACATTTGGGACTTCAGTGTACAGTCATGGAAGAAATCCTAATTAGTCTTTGAACTTACTTCAGGTCATTCCTAAAATTTAAATAAAAAATAGCTAGTCAGAAAAAAAAAAAAACCAAAACAACAACACAAGGCTTCTTCTTTGACAAGTATAAAACAATAATTAAAAAAATAAGTATTTATAGAAATTAAGGGTTTTTCCATTTCAGGAGGAAGATGGCTTATTGATTTTTAACTAAAAAGAACTGATGAATGAATTGAAATTTTTAGTTTGAACTTAATCAAAACATCTAGTTTAGGGGTTTTTAGGAATGATACCAAGGCTAATGAGGAAAATCAAGAAGAGCATCTGTAAGACATGCCAGTGTGGACTAGCCTTCTTGTGCTGCCCTGCAGTGACTGGAGCAAAGCTGTTTTGCTGGAAGAGAAGAGCTGGAGTAGGACTTGCACAGCCAGGTCCTTTTAAGTAAGGAGCGAGTGTGTACTGTTCAGGTGTTAGGCCAGTGTCTGCCATTTTCCACCTGACAAACATTTACCTGAGTCTTAAGCTACTTGCAGGAAGGAGAACTGCTGAGAGGTATAAGAACCTGAGGGGTCAAGCCTAGGGCAAGTATACTAACAATGTTTTAGTGCCTTGGTGCCTTGGAAAACCTTATATGTTACCCCACGCTTCAGATACACCCCATCTGGGAGAGTTTGTAGTTTAATCACAAGTGAGAGCTACTCATCAGTAAATGTAAAGATCAGTGCAAAATGAGAAAGAAACTGGAAGTGTCAGCCAGTTTGGAATGAGCTTAAATAGGAGCACAGTCACCCAGCTGCTGCCTTCCTGTGGACTGCTCCAGGAAACAGTATGGCCATAATGAGAAATGAACAGAGGACTGCAAATCCCTGCGATAAGCAAAAGGATTTTCCTCCACATGCAACCACTTAGCACTGCAGCTGTGCTGACAGCTTGAGCCTCAGATTCAGTAAGTGCTACCCTCCTCCCCCTTCTCACATGTAATGAAAGAAAAATACACCTGTATGGGTGGCTGAGAGCAATGTCCTGTGCTCCTGTGGAAATCAAAGCAGAATCCTGACCTGCTGCACAGTGCTAAAACAGTTTCCCTGTGCTCAAGGAGAAAAAGCTGTCTAATCTTAGAACGGGACTTACTGTTTCTGTTCCTGTGCCGCTCCAGATGTGCTTCTCTCAAGGGCTGTTTCTATACTGGCTCGGTATGTGATGCACTGCAATGTCACTTGGGAGCTTCGCCTGCTGATGCTGGCTGAGCTGCCGGCCGACTGCAGGTGTGTCATGGATAGGGATAAGATAGTGAGAGCAAGAGAGTCGATTCTCTCTCTGCATCTTATTTTGCTCACAGCAGGGTTCACACTGTTTCTCTGTTTCCTGGTCAGATGCATGAAGTTCTCATTTCTAGTTCTACCAGCACTGGTCCTGGGGAGTAGCACCTGTGCTGGCAATAAAGAAGCATGAAAAAGGAGTCATTGAGGTTGCTTAGCAGAAAGGAAGAGAATCTTCTAAAGAGAAAAGATTTGATCTTCCCATACCATACATTTCAGCTCTAGTCCCTATATAAATTGCATATTGATTTCTTATAAGCCACAGGGGTTGTTGCTGACTTGTTTGCCAGCTAATTTGAGATGTTGGTGTCATGATGCATAAATAGGTCATTCAGCACGTTTGTATTTAGCAGCTCATACATCTGCACATGATTTTGTAATTTCCCTCCTAAATTTTCTGAAAGTACAGATAGAAGGACAATTCTATATTAAACAGTTTGTACCCTAAAGTAGGGACTGAACACCGAGGCCAATTGATTTAGTATTCTTAGATGTACTTGTTAAACTGCTGTGCTGCCTCCTCAATCTCTGACACCCTTGTCAGGATGTGTGGGTCTCATTAGTAAAATTGTTTCAATTTAAATAATTTCAATTCATATGTCCAGAGTGCACCAGGACAGTCCAAAATCCTGTTCAGAATTTGGCCATATACTTCTAAATATTAATGGGAAGAATATATAAAAAAGGATCTCCTTTCCATTCTTCAGAAAAATATCTGCTACGAATTCTGACTTCTTTTCCAATTGTTCTTTAATATCATTAGCACACAAAACATTTTCCTATGTGTGATGATTCATATGCTACACTTCTAAAAAGTGGATTATTAGATGTATTTTCCCAAATCAAAATTTGACTTGTGGAAATACTATTAACACTGTATCTGAAAGAAATAGCTAGGCTCAGCTTTTAAATTACAACCCACAAGGGATGAACTTTACTTCAGCCTGTAAATTAAGTAAATCTGGAAAACTTCTGGAAGTGGTAATTCTGATACCCTAACATACAGAGCTAAAGTAAAAGTATACTCTGGAACAGAATCTGAAATAAACATTCTGTAAACTGAAAAATAGCAAATCCCTGCAGACCTGAATGAAAAGGTGGGATAATTCTGTATTTGGGGCTGCCATGGATTCTGTGTTTAATACATGTGCTTATTTTCCCAATCACAGAACTAAGTATGATTTGGAGTAAACAAGGAAGATCTCTTAAGGACAGTGTATCTTCTAAGTGTAGATACAGTGTAGACAGTGTATCTGTCATTTTTCCAACTATAAGATAAATTAGAACTATTAATACCTGGAAAAAGAGCACATGTTGTTCTTGTTCAGATGGAGACTTCATACGTAGAAGTGTAATATTTTCTGAGGCAGGGAAGCGAGGTGAAGGAGAGGACCATGGCAAAAATTTCCTATCAGTGTAGGGCTTAAGAGAAGAAGTATTCCGAGAACAGCAATATTCAGGAAGCAAGTGATGTACAACACAGGAAAAAAAAAAGGTCATGACAGCTGTCAGTATCTATAGGGGAAAATTCAAATAATATGTAGAATAAGGTTATACAATTCAGATCAAGTAACAGCTGGGTTTCGTGCTGCTTTTAGGTCAAATCTTCCTAGTTTACGTGGTATCACAATTAATTCCTGAGATTTTGTTAGGGATCATCTGAAAATTCCAGGAAATGCACAACTCCCAGATAATCAATCGTGAATAAAAACAAAAACAATATTTTCATAGATTTTATCCCACAATAAAAGCTGGTGCAGCTTTGCAGTATTGAGCAAATAGTTTTACTAACGAGTAGAGAATACCTGGTTTGATTGTTTTAACTGATTTATGCAGGTCAGTGTTAAAGGGAAGTCATACATATCTACAGAAAGTAGCCAGGCCTATAGACCTCTAAAATTAAGCATAAAAACTTAATGAAAGGCAAAGGTAAGCATATGCTAAATATTTTCTGAGATTATGTCCAAGCTGACAATCATGAATCGCCTACCAAAACACTGAATTTTGGACATGCTGTTTGAAATTGTATTCCAGTGCCACAGAACTGTTGAGACTTTTTGACTTTTTAAAAGGAAAAGATGTCTCACTATAACAACTTTCCTGTTACATTAGAGGAAAACATAACTTAAGTGTTAACAAGGGTCAAGAAGCTGTGAATTTAATGTAGGTAAAAAGTGACAGAATTAAAGCTAAATACAGGGCAGACAGCATGCCAGGAAGAACACTTTATCTTCAGAAGCAGCGAGTATTAATACTGTCAGGTGATACAGTGAACCTGATGGATGGGCAGTGTAACCCAACACTGCAGATCATGAGTTCCCTTCAAAATTGTATTGTAGGGGAAATATTCATCCTATTTTTTCACCTTCTATTTCATACCACAAAATAAAATATTTACTCTTACTTTTGTGAAGACCTACTCTGATATACTGCATCTGAGCCAATGCTCGAAACAAGCTTTCAGATTCCCGTGAGCATAAATTTGATTAATAATGACAATAGATATTAAATTGTGGAATTCTACTGAGTTATAATACAGCAGATGACTTAACTCATTGATATGGCAGAATAAGTTAATTTATCATTTACTGCAGAAAATGTAACATCTCCCCATAGCTACAGTATTTGTTACTGTAATCTTCTTGAAATCAGTTTCACTTTTCCAAGTTGTGCAGTTAAAATTAATACAGTAAATGTAAGTATTAAGTATCTAACTGGAGAGTTAGAGCCATCTTTTATTTACTGATATGATCTATTTGTGTTATCTTATCAGGGTATGACAGTGGTATTTTGAGGAGTTGATGTAAGCTTGCTGTGCCAGCTCTTCCTCTGTTGGATCAGAGCCATAAGCAGGATGGCCCTAGGAGAGCTGATTCTTTTATGTGGTCTTAGGAGAACTAATTCCTGTTATGTGGCTTCATGGTTTTTGTCTGGCTCAGCTAAAGCTCAAATCTGCCTGAAATATACCATGGTGACACACCCAACACCATCTTCATCATGCTGTAGGCTTAACTCTTGTGGGCCAGTCATTATATCTTGTTAAAAGAACGTACTGTAAAACTGAAACTGCATCCTTGCAAAAGGAGGAATGATGAGGAAAATAAAAGTGTGGAAATCCAAACACCTTCAAAGCAGTGTTATGCAGTCACATGTGGTACACTTGACCGATGTTCCTTGTAATTAGTAAATAAAGTCTCAGCAAACCAATACCTGCATTCATGAAAAAGCTGCTTTCCCACCTACATGCAATCTGCCTCTTACTTTCTTACCTTAACTTTAAAGTAGCTTTTTGTCTTCTGTGACAGAGCTGCTGCAGTTTGCACGTTCATCTTTGTAGCACAAGGCACTCTTACTTCTTCAAGTTCTGGGTATGACTGACAGCAAAACCCTCAGCATTAGTTTATCATCAGCCCAAAACAATCTCGTTCAAAAATAGCCTTTAAATTTGCTGGTTTATTCTGTGAAACAACTTGGCTGGCTGGCAGTGCAGGTGTTTTCAGCCTAAGGGTTTCCGGTGGTTTAAGATTTGACAGACTCCAGTTGGTGCCCCTAGTTATTTGACAGTGATGTGGCAACACTGAGTGGTTGCTGATGAACAGGTCTGCAGTGATCATGCCTCTGTTTTCTGTTTTTGTTTTTTGTTTTTATCTTTTCCTCAGGGGAAATCGCTCACATCAAAGAGGTTAACCAGTCTAGTGCAGTCCTACTAAAAGGATCACCTTGTAGCATGGAAGCAGACTCAAATCATTATACATACTTTGTAGCTCACTGATTGCCTGACTCAGAGGACAGTAGAACAAGATGTTGCATGAGCAAGGACCTGACTTGTTTTCTTTTGTGTATACTAAGGCATTACAGACTCCGAGGGACTCTCTAGCCTTTCGATGCCACCATTTCGAAAACTGTCTGCTCACTTCCTCCTTCATATCAAGCTGGATCTGTGTCTTTTTATTTTCTGCAAGCTGAAGTACAGTGAAAAAAAAGCTTCTGCTAGGCACAGTTTATTAAAAAAAAAAAAAGTCAATCAAAACCTGGAAGAAATGTAAAAAATGCATATATTAATAAATATACATATGGCATCACATTTATTGCACAATAAATAGCACAGAAGGTTTCATTTCACTGATGTATTCACATTGAGAAAGAAAGCCTGTGTCTTTGTCTGTTGTCTGTATATTCTCTGTTAATGTTTCTTGCATTTATTTTTATACCATATTTAAAAAAGAACACCTTTTACTCCAGATGTATTAAAGCTGATCCTTTCTCTGTAAATTTGTGTATGTTTATATTGTTGTTTTATCTTTCATTAAAAGATGCAGAATCTCTTTCCTTTGGGAAGTTTGAGATTTTAATATTGAATCTGAAGATCAGTCAAGAGCAAAATCATCCCAAAAAGTTACACATCTTGTGCTTTCTAAAAAGTGACATGAAATGGCATTTTCTTTCTCTCAGTGACACCTAATCAAACACACTTTATTGATAATCATTTACTTTTTCTTTTCTTTTTATCAAGCTAGCAGCAGAGAGACCTTTCCAGCTTGCTCATCATCACATAAGCAAACTTTTCTTTAAGCTAGACTCGTTCTGTCATAGTGCAGCCTGCACAGTGATTCAGTCGCTACCCAAGACCAGGTCGACTGAACTGCATTTCTTTAGGAACGGACATGAACAAAGCTGGCTGAAAACACAAGTGCGTATTTGCTAAACAGGAAGGACAGTGTTTCTTCCTCCTTGTCACTTGTGATCCAATGCAACGTTTTAAACTTAAAAGGTAGTGGTTTGGAAGTGGTAAGTGTATTGTCTGTAGAGCAAAACTTGGTTAGCAACTCAGGAAGCTGTCATTTTAATTCAAGGGCTCTATTCAGGTGTGCTGTTGAATGTGTACTGCTGAGGTTACTCACAGAGACCTATTGCCAGGTTTATGAGAGCATGTAGACGTTTCCCATGAGGTTGCAGATACGGATCTTTTGAAGTTAAACTGAGCTGTAACCAGAAATCTGCTTGGCCTAAGAAAAAGCAGTTTTGACTGGCAGAGATGATGTAAGGAGTGTAGGCAGAAATCTGAATAGAAAAAAAAGGAGTCAAACAACAAAATGCTGATGCCTCCAGGGCATTGTAGGGTGCATGGGACAAATGAGGGTTTTTAGCAACACGCAGGAGATACTCAGGACAGCCAACTCTAGCACCATCTGTCATACTGACTTTAGTTTAATATTGAGAAACAGGAGTCTTGTTTTGAAGGGACTACCAAACCTAAAAATGCACAAAGTGTGACAGTCATAGACACAATAAGAATAAATTTGAATACAGTAATGCTAGCATCACTTCATTTGCCATCAGATACCTACCTGCATTGTTGCTGTTAGGGACAGGGCTCCTGCACAGAGCAGCTGTGTAGGCAGAAGGTGGCAGAATGTGGCTGAGCTGCCTTCTGCAGGGAATGCTTGCTTCTCTGCTGGCTCTGTTGGTAGCCTGGTGCAGCCATAGCCCTGGATGTAGCCTGAATGAACCCAGGACAAAATGCATTATAAATCAGTGGATGTTCCCCAGGTTTTGCTCAGTTGGGGTTTCTGGAGGTTTGGGATTTTTATTTGTTGTTTGTTTTCACATGCCACTGTTTCTGGTTTCTAGCTGGGATGATAATCACTGCTTTCAAGTGTCTCAGGTTTTGCTAGCATCATTCTATTAAGCTTTTATCAGAAAACACTGGAAATGCCCCATGAGAGCTTGAATTTGTCATGAGCTCCATTTAGGTCAACACAAAATATTCACAGTCTAGGGAGGCCAGATGAATTTTAATAAATAGCCACACTGAACCTCAGATCTTAAACTCCGAGATTTTCTTTTCCTTTACTGCAGAAATGTGAGCTCTGAGGCATGAACTTGGGGCCAGGCAATCCACAGAAATTTGAGCTCTGCTTCGCTTCTCAGTGCCAAATAGAGGTATTTATTTCCAAACTCCTGCTGCCACCAATTGCATCAGCTTTGCCTTAGGAGTTAACTGATTAGATACCAGTGTCTGCTTTCAAGAATCACTCCCTTCAAATAACTAATGTTTCAAATTCATGCATTAGGTACTTCATGCAACTTTTCCATAAGATTTCCCCCCCCCTACCCCAAATCACTTTGCAACACCAACTGGCTGATAAAAAGATGTGGAGCATTTGTATCCCTGAACCCATTTTGTACTTGTGCTAGTTCTGCCCTTTCAATAAATACGAAGTCACTACTGAATGGCTGTCTTTCCCTGGATTTGCACAGGTTTTAACACAGCGTCTGCCAAGTAAAAAGATGCAATACTAATAAGGATTTCAAAGTAGTTGGGGAGCTCTATTAAGGTTTCATTTGAGTTTAGTTTCAAGTGATGCAAATCCATTGTTGCACGAGTGAATTTGACCCAAACAAAATCTGTCCACCAGCTGATTTTTAAAGGGTTTGTCTGCAGCCTTGTGATACTTCACCTGATCACTGTCACCTGCCAGTGAACCATACTTGGACTGAAAACTCCAAATAGGCACAAACTTCCTTTTGCTTCCCCACAGAGAAAAAGCTAAATATCTGTTGCCACATCATAACAGCCTTCCAGTATCTGAAGGGGGGCTATTCATTAGGGACTGTAGTGACAGGACAAGGTTAATAGATTAAAACTTAACCAGGGGAAGTTTAGATTGGATATAAGGAGGAAGTTCTTTACTGTGAGGGTGGTGAGGCACTGGAATGTGTTCCCCAGGGAAGCTGTGAATGCTCCATCCCTGGCAGTATTCAAGGCCAGGTTCGAGAGAGCCTTGGGTGAGATGGTTTAGTGTGAGGTGTCCCTGCCCATGGCAGGGGGGTTAGAACTAGATGATCTTAAGGTCCTTTCCAACCCTAAGTATTCTGTGATTGTATGATTCTATGTGAAGATACACTTCCAGAATTAATATTAACTCAGATTAAGGCTGGTTTGTAATACACCTGTTAGGAATTTCAATGAGGCCACAAGTCTGCTGGGGTAAAAAGGACTGAGAGAGAAACCCATCTGGAGGGACCACTTTCCTGTCTCCTGGGGAAGAGCCATCAATCAGTGCCACCTGGCTTTGCCCAGGAAGCTGTAAATACCCTCTGTTGGGAGATATTAATTATAATATCCATTAAAATAACAACGTAATGCTAAGAACTTCCAGGTGAGAAGCTGGGGTTCATCAGACACCTTGTTCCTCATGCATCCCTGTGCATAAAGCAACTCTTAAGCCTTCAGGGGGAAGAATTGTTTGCTGATGATGCTGCAGCCTTGAGACGGCTTTGTGCTCCCAGACCAGCCTGGGAAGGAAAACAGCTGGTGGGATATATGTGAGCTTCCCTAGCACCTACCTGATAACAGCAAAATATTCACCCATCCTTCTGTGAGGTGCAATTGAAAATTGTCCTTCAATCTTACAAAATCAAAGAGGGAGAAACAAGGCCTTAAACAGTGACAAGAGAAATTGCAGAATGCTGAGCTGAAACGGTAATGGAGACTGGCCAAAAATTAATGAGCTGGAGGTGAATACAGGAGCAAGAAGTGGGAGTTAATTGTAGTGACCAGAACAAAACCAACAAGGGAGGAGAACTGGGGAACTGATCGAGAGGTGGAATGCAGCTGGTGGATTCCCAGCCTGCTAGCCATGGCCATGCAGGGCTGGAATCAAAGCCACCCAAAAGTCAGACAAGATCAACTGCAGGTGGCCCTTTAATGACAGTTTTTTTTACTAGAAAGCAATTAATACCAAGTACCTGTAATTACTTTTTTTCAGATTGTACCCCTTATATTGTTTGAAATAATGACATAGATGCCAAATAGTCACCCAAGAAATAACAAACTGGAGGGCTAAAATCAGTTCCAGAAAATGAGACTTTCAGGAGTGCATTTAGGTTGTTTAGTTATTAAAAAACAAAATAAATAGCGCCAAGGCAGACAACTAACCTGAGAAAAGCTGTTTTCTTTAGGTAACTGGAGTGAGGAGTTGGGAATGACCAGTGATTTATGTGTGGCTCTTCCAATTATTTATCTTTCTGCTAAGTGATTAACAGCTGTTTGAATTTAGATTTTTAAATTACTATATTTTTAATGTCCCTTTTAGCTAGAGATGTTGTGCACAGAACTAACACTGGTCTGATTAGGTGCATAAAACACAGAAATTTTTCTAAAGTAAAGTTACTAGCTATAGGAACATATATAAAATAAAGCTTTAATCCCAAGATGTTCAAGGGAAATTATCAACAACTTCTTTGAACATATTCCATGTCCACAATTTCTATTAGCAAATTGCTAAGTGGTTATGAATAGTACCAATCTGCCTTTTGATCTGACTGTGCTGAATAGATTAATGCTTTTGTCTTCTGTGAGTTGAACGTAGGCTGAATTCCCAATATCAAAGAGATGGAGGGGAAGCAAGGATGATCTCTCTGGGACTGAGCTCCCCCTCCTTGTTCTGGACTGTAGAGTCCTCAGGTGATGTGTGCAAATAAATGGGTTCGTTTGTACGGATATCGGCTTGAGAGCTGCAGAGTCTCTCTAGTCATTTTCTCTGCCACTATGAAGTTTATTTCCTGGCATCTAAACTAAATCTTCTTTGTTTCAATTTATCCATTATTTTTGACCAGGCTGCTACAATCACTATAAAATGTTCCCTGCCTTTTTGCTCAAGTACATAAATGGCCATTGCAACATCACAGCCTCCTTTGCTTTCTTTTCTGCTGTTTTCTGAAGTGCTGAATTACTTCATGGCTCTCCTCCAGGGTGGAGGGTGTTACAGCTTTCTTGCAGGGCAGTTCCCAGAGCAGGTTGCAGGGTTCCCACACAGGTTTTACAGGAGGAGGGCAGAGGATTGCTGTTGTACTTCTGTCTGTACACAGGGCTGTGATATTGCCCTTTTTGCGGTAGGTGGCCACTACTGAACTGTGCCAGCTTATGCATGTGGCACAGTGGCACCCAGAGCCTTTGCACTAAAACATAGGTGGTTGTTTTCCTTTGTGTGTAGCTGACTCTTCTTGGGTCAGTGAGGCCTCTTCTGTTGTCCATTGAGTAGTATCCTCATTTTTCAGACCATCTCTTTTCCCAAGATCACTTTCCCTTTTTTGATACTAACCTGTGAAATACTTGTAGTCCTTTTACCTGGGGGTATCTTTATGTGTGGGTGAGAGTGAGGAATTTGTGGCCTGATTCTCTAAAGCATGAATGAGAGCAAGTACCATTGTCACTATTTGCCATAAGGGATCTGTATGTATAACTTGTTAAGAGAAATTGCTGTGACAATAAATCCTGAGAACCTGCTCAAATGCTAGATGATAGTCCTTATTTACAAGCGTGG